GTAGAGGTGGCACAACAGGGAGATTGGTCTGTAGCTTTTTGGATCATGACGGTCTTTGCCTGGCTTCAAGATGGCGGTGACTTATAGAAAAGCTATTTCTATAAAACACACATAAAATACACAGGACAGAGATTAAACCACAGGACACGAGTTTAAAATTCGTGCTTATGAGTAGCATAGACTCCAGGTTTGTGCTACTCATACTAGGTGGCTTCTGCTGTGGATTTTGGAAGAGAGCAATGACCCCTCCTTAAAATGGTGGTGATGATGATGATGACGCAAATTTATTTATTTATTTATTTATTGAGAGCTTTTATAACCCGTCTTCTCGAAGAGGGACTCAGACCGGCTAACAGCAGAAAATTCAACACAAATATAGTAAACATAATATCATCATAATACATTAATACAAAATACATTAAAATACAGATCATACAATATCATACAATTACAAAAGCCAGGTCGTCAGAAAAAAAATCTCAAAATCATCACCATCCGCCTTTAGTGTGGTCAGCCGTTATTGACTCGATCATCATTCTGCAATGCTATATTCCAAAGCCAGGTTTTTGTCAGAATATTGAAGCATTGCCAGCGGAAGGATTGCTAGATCAGCAGACACTGTGTTCAAACAGGACTCTGCAGACTTTCAGTTATAACAGAAATCTAAGTTTTACTAAGCACATCTATACACGTCTATTCACAGCAAGCAACAGACAGGAACCACAAGGCGAAAACAACAGTCTCTGAACATCTGCTTATCTGACCTCTGACTGAGACCAGATCCTCCCTCTTCTTCCCAGCCAGAGAACATGTTATTTCATTTCTGTCAAGGTTACAGTTTCACAGCCTCAGCACTATGTTTTCTTAATACACAAAAGAGCAGAATAGAATCCATCTTGAAATACATCTTAATCCATCTTGAAGCGCATAGAAACACATTGAAAAACACACATGCATAACTAAATAATCCTGACAGTTTTTACCAGCTTTCTGAAAGTCAGGAGGGAAGAGGCAGATCTAATCTCCAACGGGAGAGAGTTCCAGAGC